GATTGAGTTAGACCTATCGGACTGCGCCATCTAGAGTTTCATGCCAGAACTCTGTATTTATATATTCCTCTTATGTCAATTACCCTTAATTTAAGTGGATTTTGAATAGAAAAAAGCATTTAATTTTAATGATCAATATCATAACATTTTTATACGTAATATTATAATATTATATTAGCACAATATTGGTCACCCTGCAATTTAGAAATCGGACACAGACCCATATCGGTCGACCACTAGTTTGCACATCATCAGAGACATTTGGTTTCTGATCCACTCAAACAGAATTATCTCACTCATTGTTTTTTAGTTGTTTTTAAATCCCCCTCATTAGTTGATTGAGAAGGCACTGTCTGCGCTATCTAGCAGGATCCTTTCTGGATGGGGTGACACAATGCTTTCAGGGCTGTGGTCCCCTGCTGAAAAAGCTGTTTACAGGCCTTTCACCACGATCCCTTTTGTTTCCTGTCAACATCTTGCTGCGCATCTCCCTGACGATGTGGTACCATGTGAATCAGATAAACAGGGCATGACAAGCCCACAATATATCTCTGGAGATAAGTGCGCGACGCACAAAACAACCGGTCCTTCCTTTTAAGTGTAAATCTGAAAATAAGAGAGATTTTTGTAGGATAGAAACAGGGAAGAGACAGCAATCAATTACCGTAGCCTACATGGCAGGGAGCTATGATCTTAATCGGAGATGAATAGCTGGGTGGGATTGTGGGCCATGTGTGAGAACACCTCCGGGGCAGTGCAGACACGGGGAGGGGGGCATCATCAATAATAGTGCAGGTAAGGAGGACTCAGGCAAGGTCAGGACAAGCATGTTTCCCCATGAGCAGACAAACTGCCACATGCACACACAGAAATAGCTCACGGCGTAACCTCAGTCTGATTCAGTGCGTTCCATCTCACCCGTGACGCTCCATCCAGGCGCCCGGAAGGGTCTTTGAAGATGCGGTCTGGGGTTGTGTTTGATAATCTGCTCCCTGAGAGACAGTCCTTCACCTATCAAACACCATGCACGTCCTCCAGCATAGACAAACAAGACACAGAGAGAGCAGGAGCTCCGGCCAATCGCTTGCCCTATTTCTGACTCAGTCCGTGTGCTTTTTTCACTCCGTTTCCTTTCTCTTGTGAGCAATCGCTGAGCCGTTCACTCCTCGCCTTCTTCTACGTACGTGGAGGGGAACCAGCCCACCTGTGGATGAGACAGAACAGAAGGAATGAGTGATTAGAGGAAAAGGTTGCAGGGGGTATTACAGAGGATTTGCGTCACTTCATTGCCTTGATAACCTTGAGGATGTGCCTGCTGCAAGAGGAGGGTCGGCGCTGGATTGTTTAAAGTGCTTCCAGTGGCTTCACACTGGCCTGAGCAATAATAGCCAGCAGGAAAGTATGACAGAGCTGTTTTTCTTTGATTGGCCAAATCAGGGAGGGAGAGAGAGAGGAAGTTGGAGAGAACTGAATTGTGTTGTTGCTTCTTGTCAAGCAACAGCTAAGCGTTTTTCCTGCTATGGTCTATCTCTGCCTAAATACTGTAGGTGCCACGCAAAATTTTTGGGTGTCAGCAATTTTGGGCCAATGAGATTGCACTGTGGACAGAAAACAAATTTCTGTCCTGCTGCTTTGTTAACTTGTATGACTATTACGTTTCAAGTGTGAAGTATTTTTCTGTTCTCAGTTAAATAAAAATGCAAAACTCACAGTGACAAAATCACAATCACAGCCAATCAAAAGCTAGCCGTGCATTATCCCGCTTATACCATGGTCATTTACCAGCATTGACAAGTTAAAAGCTGTTAATGATGTTTGCAACGCAATATTTAACCGGAAGAGTACAAATATTTTCGTCAGTTACGGATCATTAGCTCGAGCATTCTGTCCACTTCAGATTAGACACAGAGATGAAATAGTGCATTAAGACCACATTTATTTGAATTAATTATAGCATTTATTTGAATTAACAGTTGTGTGTGAGTTACCTGCATCTGTGTGTCTCTCTCTACAAACAATGAAGCTGTGTTTAGTTACTTAAAAAACAGCGATTTTACCTCCTCGTTGCAGAGGAATATAATGTAGTGATCCAGTATCTAGGCTGTTGTATTAATAAAAGTCGCAGGGCAGCGTTGACAACAAGCCTCTGTGCTCCTGAATGTTTCTGTGTGTGTGCGCAGCGCAATCTGCGATCTCTCTCTCTCTCTCTCTCTCTCTCTTAATAATAATATTAATAAATGGTTCACAGGTGTTCACTTTACAATAAGATTCACTTTTAGACGTTATTAACGTTTATAACTCATTAATAAATGGTTCACAGCTGTTCACTTTACATTAAGGTTCACTTTCAGACGTTATCAACTTTTATAACTCATTAATAAATGGTTCACAGGTGTCCCCTTTACATTAAGGTTCACTTTCACAGGCTATTAACGTTTATAACTCATTCATAAATTATTTACATTAAGGTTCAGAGGTAACTAATATTGGAATTAAAATTTTCATTATTGATATTTCATCAAGCCATGGTTGTGCTTTTATGATTTTTTTCTGCCCCAAAATAAAGTTTGATATTTTCATCTTGATAAACAAAATATATCAGTTTCTAATAGGCATCATGAACATTTGCAGCGTACCATGGGTAAGGTACAGAGTAGATTCTGGTAAGAAACATTGTACAAAAAGTCATGAGATGTAAATGAGAGAACCATAAATACAACACCCTTCAGTCTGTATTGCATTAAAATCACCCTTTTTATTCATGCATTTCTAACTGCTTATCAATGATTTATAATGCATTTGTAAATTAGTTATTAGTCATTTATGAACACCTTTATAAACACTTTATAAAGGGAACCTTAATGTAAAGTGTTACCATTTATTTTTTTAATTATTATTAAACTTTTAAATTATTATTATTTTATCATTTATTGTTGTTTTTTTTATTTATAAAATATATAACAATAGCATAATATATGACATAATGTCAGCATAATTTGCAAAAACAATGTAGAACATTGTACATCACAGGAACCAAACATTTACATTTGCAAGGCATAAAAATAGATGTACAAGATCAATGAATGGGTCCATTCTTATTGTTGAGTCCTGCATTTGAGATTCAGAATACTATAAGTATGTGAAGCTGGAAGTTGGACCAATGTGATTTTACTGTAGGCTGGACTGTCCATCACTAGGCAACAAAAATAGAAACCAAGCATCCATCAAAACATAATTTCACACTGTTGACAATCACAGCTGCTTAGGACAAAATGCAGATTAACAAGGGAGAGATGTGATTTATTGGCTGACGTTACAAAAGGTACAAAGGCAGTTCTGTCCATTTCAGAAGAAGGCAGGAGAACTGTTCGAAGCACTGATCCCAAAATCTATTACTGGCATCCATAAAACAGCCCTGAACGTTTTATTCACTAAATTACACTTACAGCCTCCCTGATGAAACCATTATAAGATGGCTCAAGAGGCTCAAAAAACATTTGACAGTTCGATGCGCTTTAAGTACAAATAAGCTTTTGGGCTCAGTATGAAATAATGCTGCTTAATTCGATAGCGATGCCACATTTTCTGTGCGGTTTCAGTTTTCTGTCATTCTTAGCAGAATGTCTGTCATCTCAGATCAGAGAAGAGAAGCATGTTATGAAAAGACAGTATAAACAGACAGTACTTTCACATTTATTTAAGTAGGTGCTCTGTGACTGTGCACTGAAAGCACTTTATATTTTAAAACAAGTATTATTATACATTATTTTGTTTTTAAATATTTGAATACATTAAATAATTTAAATATAAGTTTACTAAATATTAAATATCTCTCGAACTTATATTGTAAGGCAAATTCTATTTAGAAATTAACTAGATGTACCAAAATGTGAAATATTGTATTCCATAATGCAGTGCGTTCCCTTTGACCTTCTGTTTTGATTGTGACAAATAAATTGGAAGTAAAAACAGCCTTGATTTTTAACAAACATTAGCATTCAATGATTTTAGGTTGGTAAGATTTTTGATATTTTTTCAAAGAAGTCTATGCTCACAAAGGCTGCACTTATATGATATATTGATATATATTGAAATATTATTACAATTTAAAAGAACTATTTTCTATCTTAATATATTTCATAATGTAATTTATTCCTGAAATAGTAAAGCTGTATTTTCATCAGCCAAGTGTTCAGTGTCACATGATCTTTCAAAAATAATTCTAATATGCTGATTTGGAGCTCAGGTAACATTTCTTGTCATTATCCATGTTGAAAATGTCCATGTTGTGTGGCTTAGTACTTTGTGGAAACTGTGATAGAGAACAATATAAAGGGGTCATATGATGCTGCTAAAAAGAACATTATTTTGTGTATTTGATGTAATGAAATGTGTTTATGCGGTTTAAGGTTAAAAAAACACATTATTTTCCACATACTGTACATTATTTTCTCCTATTTTCAGGAAAACTTGAAATCGCATCATATGACCCCTTTAATAAATAGAAAGGTCCAAAGAACAACATTTATGTGAAATAAAAATATTTTGTCACATTATAAAATGTCTTTACTGTCACTTTTTATCAATTGAATGTATCCTTGCTGAATAAAAGCATTAATTTCTTAAAAAAAAACTAGTATTACATTAGCTAACATATAAGGAGGTTTTTTATTTTGTTTGTAGATATTTTTTTTTATTTAACAAAATTTACTTTCAAATCCAAAAAAGCACTTTCTTTTTATTCCCGTGATCATATCTTGATGCCACACAATCTTTTAAACATTCCATAACATGAAATTGTCACAAATTCGTAGGACACGGTTTGAAACATCTATCATTGCATAACGTGCATCACATATTATTTATGCAGTATATAATACACATTATGCAGTAAGCTAGTATACATCCTATTACATCTACACACACACTTACCCGTCCATTGACTTCACCCCTCCACCAGCCATTGGCTCCAGTTTTGCTGTAGATCTTCACCACATCACCCTCCTGCAGAGACAGTTCCCGCGTGTCCCGAGAGCTGAAGTCGTAGCAGGCGATCGCCACACCCATCACCTTAGGAGTAAACACTGTAGAGATGAGAAAAAAAAGAGTGCACATTTAGAAGCAAACATCACAGGACAAAAAGGAAGACGAGAATCAGACAAAATTAACCAGACAAACAAAGAGAGGATGGATGTAGGCTGTATAGTCCCCCTAAGGACTCTTGTAATCACCGCACTCCTTCATGTGTTTGCCTGCCTTAACACAACCACTTTAAATAAATGATTCTCGTGAATCTGGGACGGGTCCAATCACAGCTGAAGTGGCTGTTTTGATTATGTCTTGAGATGTGTCAACAGCATAATCTGCTGGGTTAATTACATTTCAGACGACTTTTCCCTCAAAAACACATCTTGTTCCTTCTAGCAGCTCACTGACGTTTTGTTGGACTCGTTTCGCGGTTCTCTCTAAATGCGGTGGGCCGAGGGAAATACGTGGTGGCGGATTCAAATGTGCCTTTGTTTTATCGGACTTCAGAGGCTCTGAGGACTTTGTGAACGGCAGCCAGAGAAGCTAGGCCTTCCGCCAGACGTGTGTCGATGAGATCCGCCTCAGTGCCAGGATGCTTTCTCTTCAGCTGTTTTAAAGTGAGCAAGACTTGTACAGACAGAGAACTGGCTGCCAGTTAGCTGCCGTCATGCTCAAAGCGAGAAGTTTGTAAAGGAGGGAGAGAGAGATGTCACAAAGTTAGCCCGACTCCTTCCTTTTCATCACAGATCCCCTGATAAAAACCGCCCGCAATGACGGCTCTAATAAGCTAACTGCCTGAAATGAGATAATGATGAGTCATATTGTCAGTCAGTCAGTGTCGGCTGACAAAGGACATATGGTGCATGGGGCTATGCATTAGAGAAGATGATAGCGGCTGGGAGATGATCTATAAACAGACACGCACAATGAGATGGGGGGCGGGGTTAAACGTAGGGGGTGGCGTGTAAACAAGGCAGCCTCAGATCTCCTATGACCTTGACAAAACAACACCAATGGAGAAAGAAAACTTGTACCTGTACCTGACCAGAATGGGGCGGTAGAGGGGGGGACAAAGCTGTAGCCGGCGGGAGTTAGAAAAGACAGCCCGCAGAGCAGCGGGGCTGAGGTGGGCGGAGGCATGGGCGTGGTGGGGTGAGGCGGAGTGAGGTAGGGGTGCGGCAAGGGTAAAGAGAAGAAAAGCATAAGAAAAAGCATGTTTAATTCAAATGCAGCATTTGCAAGCAAACAGAGCAGATTGTAAACAAATGCTAACTTCTAGCATCAACACATTCTAAAGCCTTGTTCAGACTGTCAGTCCAAACCTGATGATATTTATCATAGATTGAGCATTAAGCTGCACGATTAATCATTAAAAGATTGCAATCTTGATTCAAACAACCACACAATCTTTTTCCAAAATGACAACAATTGGCCTATGTCTATTAAAACTTTCACAGAATCACAGAATTACTGGAATGAAAGTTTATAGTTTATATATCAAAATAGAGTAAATCAGCATTTGAAAGTAACTTGATGCTTGAAATAAAGATTGTATCGATTACGCTGTTACGCCAGTAGGTGGAGACAAGTGACTGTTCAAAAATTAATTTGTGTGACTGTTAAAAAATGCATTTGTCATTAAATCATTCATCCGGTAATGAAGCAAGTGAAGTCTTTATGAGTGAGTCGTTGAATTATTCATTCAAGAGATTTGTTCAAAAATGCTGATTCATCCAGTCATGACACAAGTGAAGTCTTTATGAGTGAGTCATTGAATCTTTCATTCAAAGTTTTTTTTTGTAAATAATGCATTCAAATTAATTAGATATACATAGACCGTAGCGATTAACATTTTGTCAGACCCTCTAATAAATTTATAGTAAGTTATTTTGTTTGGTTGTCTATTCAGAATCGTGGGAGAATCAAGATCTCTCTATTTAAAAAAATAAATAACATGAAACCTCTTTGAATATTGAGACTGTTGGAGACGGCAGCAGGGAATAAAGCGGCGCCGTGGTACATACAAATCTGATCTAAACAGTTGCGATACACAATGTGGACATTCAATTATTTAGATCAGATTCCATTCGGAAACAGAAATAATCAGATTTAGCCTGACAGTGTGAGTATCTTCTACATTTGTCCCCCTGCCTCATAAGACATAGCAGTCCAGCGCGATGGCTACACAATGTCATGCTGTAAGACAACATCCGTACTGCTATGATGCTGTTGTTGTTGTTGTTTTTTTGGGTCATAGGCATACCAACACAACGTCATTGCCATAGAAACCAATGCAGATATTCCAGAAAATGAAAGAGCACCATGGGACACACAAATCGGATCTAAACAGTTGCGATACACATTGTGGATATTGATTTATTTAGATCAGCTTCCAATCAGATGCACAAATATACAGATCTGGAATGACATTGTAAACATAACCTAACTGATTCCCACCTGTTTTACGTGGTAGGACAGGAATGTCAGTTCTGGAATATTTGTATTCATGTCCCATTCTGCCGAGAACTTTCAGTAAGGTTTGTGTTTACTAGAACTCCAGAAGCGTCTGTGCTCGACTGTGGCAGTGAAGCGAGTTCCCCTCGCCATCTGATGTTCCATCTGACCGGCTCGGCCCAGAACGTCACGGACCCCAAGCGTGTCAGCAACACAATATGTTTGAAGGCAGCCAAAGCAATACGGCGTTCAGTGTAACTAGCAACACGTCAATGAACATTGAACGATCTGATGATTAGGAGTGTGTATGGAGCATCAGGCTTAACCATTGTTTTAGCACATGTGTTCCTGGCCTACTTTTTATGCATGTGAATGTTTGGAGTTTGTCTAATTTCAATAGGTAAAAAGGTTCCACATTTTTGGAGCATAATGACTAAAAATAGCACCACTAGATCAATTTTCATTTAATACAAAATAGTGATAAATAAAAAAATAGCCTACAAGGTATGAATTCAAAGTTGAAGCTTCCCTTAAAATAATAACTTTTTTTTTTTAATAATGTGAACTTTGGAACATCCACAGTAAGATATAAAAACATATTAAGAATATAAATTGGGTCAATTTTAAATTCATTATTGATTTTAAAATAAATACATTCTCAACATCTCATCCTCGATTTTTTCTCTCACTCGTCTGTTCATTCTCTGGCATGCAGTTCAACTCAGACTGGGTTCAAAAGCATCTCATGTCTTTCTTAAACATCTGTTCAAAGTTTTGAAGGGACAACCCAAGCTGAGGCTAACGAGCTCATGAATTAATGCAGGAGCACATGCTGTGTCTCCAAAGGCCTTGTCTCCGACCACAACCCAACCTGTGATGTCCGAGCCGCTAACGGGCACTTGAGATTCCACCCACGTCACTCCAGGAGAACCAAACACCCATCCGCCCACTATTCTGCAAACTCTGCGAGGCTCAAACCTCCTGTCTTCAGCACGTCATTATCTATAATGTAAATATTCAAGGTTATGGATTTGCCGTCCAACCCGCGTGCCTCGCTTCACATTCGATGGAATACAAGTAGAAACGCATCATAGCTGACAGCATCTCCAGTGCTTCCTGGATATAAATAAATATGAGGAAGGAAGAGGCATGCATCAAGCCATTTGTTCTCCCTTCACCTGCGAATTAAAGCCACGATTATTTCTGTGTCCAACAAGAACAATGGAGGTCACACTGTACAGGCTGTTTCCGTTCTACAATGCTGATTTTTTTTCTCTTGCTGTATGCTGCCTACGCAGGTTCAAGTTACCACTTAGAGTAGATGCCTCTGTTGCTCTGTATGTGGCGTTCCCCATCTACTAGCGTGGTTTAAAGGTCTCTTTTTACATGAAAGACTTGTGTGCCTCTGGCAGCCGTCTCAAAAACAATTGCATGTAATTTGCATTTATTGGCACATAAGCAGACTCTGAGATGTAAAAAACGAAAAGAAGCTGTGCTGCATGGGAATGGACCTCAGGGGTGAGAGGAGAAAAACAGCAGCGATGCATACTGGGAGATCCATTCTTTGGTCAGAGTTGCTTTGTTAAAGCAGTGAAGTGTTTGAGTGACATCCCCCCAGCTTCTCAATCTGCCGACATTTCCCAATTGCGAAGAGACCCTCGCTGTGACATATGGAGCTACAATAAAATCTCATCTAAGCGCTGATTGCAATGCACCATAAACTCTCAGATCAAGCTGTAAGCACAGCTCAGTAGTTCAGGGTATACTAAAAGCCCACGTTTGAGGTTTTTAACTCATTCCTCTCCCACAACTGGAAAACAACACAGATGTCTAAGGAGCTTTCACAATCACAAAGCCATGAATAGACAGATGAATTTGGCCAGAAACATACTCAAGTGAAAGTATGCAAATGGTGACATGAACACTGCAAGCATGTGAATCCAGTTTTAAACTCTAAAATGAGTCCTGCATGAATGCATACTTTTTATTTGCGCTTTATATATAATTTTTAATTCACTAAAATAAATTAAATTTAACATAATATACGAAATTTAAATAATCCAAATTAATAAAAAAAGAAATATATAAATTATGTATACTACTGTTCAAAAGTTCAGTACGAGTCAGTAAGAATGTTCATTTATTTGGTAAAAAGCAATAAAAAATGGTAATTGTGAAATAGTATTACAATAAAAAACAGTTATTCCTGAGAATTTCTATGTAATAATCTTTGTAATAATTCGTTATAGTCACTTTTGATCAAATAAATTCCTTCTTAAATAAAAATATTAATTTCTTTAAAATTCTTACTGACCCCAGACTGTGTGTGTGTGTGTTTAAATGTCATAAATAGGCCATAGAAATCTCATCTGTCATGACCTCAAGGTTGAGAAACTCTTGAGAAACGCTATTTCCATCCATGTGGCATTTATAATACAACACGTATTTACGTTCTGACATTTCCGAAACATAAAATGCATAATTATAAGTATTTACATTTTACTAATTCATGTTTCAGGCTTTATACTCTTACACACCACGGTATGAAAATGTACCTTCTGGTTACGAAAAACTGTAAGAGAAATCATATTCTTAAACATTAACACACCTGAGAACACGTGTGAAGATTTTGTCTCAAATGTGCATCAAAGAGTTCAAAGACTTTCAATGAGGAATCACTGCTGCCATAGCAACTGCCCTGGTGACCATAGCTACTGTCCATCACAACAATGTCATGTGTTTTGAACTATTGAACACAAAATCAAGAACGTTGTGAATCACTGTTTATGCTCAGGCTTTTGTGTTAAATATAACAAGCATACATTTTGTTATTTGTGAGTTGTTCGTGTGAATCTGAAACTAGCGACCTGTGTTTTTGATAGCATGGGCGTCTGTGCACAGTACGTACTGTTGGCTCCATTCTCCGGCTCTCGGTAGGCGAACTGCAGCGTGGTATCAAGTGTCCTGAATCCTTCCCGCAGAGAGTGATGTTTGTAATACTCGATCAGCTCCTGCATTAAACACACACATATGCTCAACATGATGTCAGTTCACATAAAAGGGAAAATTTCTACAGCCATTAAAAGGGAAAATAAAAAATAAATATATGAACGGATTCAATATGACTCCAGCATTCACAATCCAATAATGTTCTTTAACTGGCATTTGCAAGATCGAATCTAAAAGCGCTTTCAAAAAGAAGCTGACAAAAGACATTTGATTTTTCTACAGAATAGAGACATTAAGCAGCGTGATTTCCTAATGCCCTTTAGAATGCAGATGACAAAACAAAAGGGATTGTATAACTGATACAAAGAGATTCCAAACGCAATAAGCTGGTATAATGCAAACATTTATCTTGATTCCACCGACCTTAAAAACATATGAGTGCAACATTTACTTTTCACTTTTTATGATAAAGACGTTTCAATAATATTCTTTGCCAAAAACTAGTAAAAAATATTAGCACTTACTAAAATGCTTCTGAACTTCCTGTTTTCTGCAATGTAGAAGAATCCCTCCTTTGTTAAGATCTTGATGTGTTTCACGTCATTGTTGTACCTGTGGGCCATGAATAAATGATGAGAGTAATTTTCTGGTGATCATTGCGATCGATGCTGCCTATCCCCTATGGGGAGCTGCCATAGTAATGTGGTATCTAAAAAATAAAAAAAGGGATTGAAACAGAATTAAATAAAGAAAGTAGAGCACACATATGTGCACTTTTGTTCTTGAAATTTCACTCAACTCAGTATTTTTAACTCGCATCTCAAGTCTGGGACAACACAGCTCATATTAGTGCTAAAATCTGCCCTAGTTACTGTATCTTTTTACAACCACAATTGGTTTTCTAAATGCACACATAAAGATAACCTAACATATTTTTCTCTTAAAATGATTTGTAGGTAATTATGATTGTAAATCATCTTGCAAATAATAGCAGGGCGTGTGGACAGAATGCGATAACATGCTATTCACAAGATAAACCAGTGCTGCAGTAAACAAACACAATCACCCACAATGCATTTGTCATTCAAAGACAGCCCTGAAGTGGTGCTTGCATACCTAAACCATTCGAAAACAACATGCACACAAGGACAAGTCTACCTTGCCTTGATCATATTTGTTTTTGTTAGGCAGAGAATAAAGAATCATTTTAGCATTATAATATAATCAGGTTTGTACTCACACATGGGCAAGGCTTCACTGCGTCGCTTGGAAAGAAGCCAACCTCCTTAGTTGCCAGGATTTTACCCTGAAACCATAGCAGATAATTACATTACGTTCAGCTGGGCAACTCCTTCTCAATAATTCAGTAACAATTAGTACTTAACACGACACTACAAATTTACAGCCGAGAGTTCATCAGAGCTGGAAAAGTCTTGGGAGAATACAGGAGGGATACCAGGAGAATGAATAAACAATATAATGCATCCAGTAGGCTATTTGTAAAATATTTACAACATTTTTTCTGTAAATATTTAATCAAATATTTTAATTAAATATTTTTCTGTAAATATATAAATAAAAAACATGTCAAAATGCATTTAAAAAATGGAAAAAATAAAAGAAAGAGATGAAGAGAAGAAAATAATCACAGTGCATCCTAATTTGCATACTATCCATCCTAAATAGTATTATTATTAGTAAGGTTTTGCATGTTTTTTTTTTTTTTGGGGCACAGAATTTTTTTAAATGTACAAGTCTATATATGAACGTACATATGAACCGGCGGGACATAAGCAAACATACACTTGCTGCACGTCGCATAAAACATTCAAAAATGTCAATATGTGGGAGTAAGAGAAGAGCAGACATATGGATAAATCTGACGACGCAAGAGAGAACTCAATTCTGTCCGGTTTTCTGAGCGCAGACACTGAAGCATACACGCACAGAATGCGCGTCTCACAGCGTGTGAGTACTCTTTCGCGTCGCATGAACGGAGAATTACACACAAAATTATGTCGAATTGTCCGTTTTGACGAGTAATCACGTAAGCACAGTTGATTACGTCTTAAGTGAATTTAAACAGTAGGGAGAACGTGTATCAGTACATTGCATCCATTGCAGCTGTGTATTCGGTTTTAAAGGGATAGCAGCCTAATTTAGTTGCAATTGTCAGAGACATTGATGTTAATCAAGCAACAAAAGAAAGACAGAAATTCACTCACTGCTCTTGACTGAAAAACTTTAGTAGCCCTAAAGATGAATCAGATAAAGCCTTAATATCAAACCTATATAATGAGTTTAATAAAAAATAATAAATGCTTAATAAATGCATTACACTGTAACTAAACCCATTAGATTTTAGCCGACTAAATTTACTGTAGATTTATCATAAAACCTTATGATATTTAGTCGACTAAAACTAGTATAAAACTAAAAACAATTCAGATGACTAAAATATGACTAAAACTAAATGCCATTTTAGTCAAAAGACTATGACTAAAACTAAATCAAAATTTGCTGTCAAAATTAACACTGAGAGTGAATATATTTTCAGCAAACCCTCATTTTTGGGTGAACTATTCCTTTAAATAATAAGACATTTAGGGTAAAAATTTAGACGGTAGATGGTAGATGTTTCATGCAAAAGCAATGAAAAGCAAAAGGTTTGTAGTATCAAAATGTAATTTAATAAAGTGTAAAGTGATCTCAATTCCAGTACATAGTCTTTCCCATCATCACAAAAGTACCTACTTTTAGTTTAAAATATAAGTATGGGAAGCAAATCTGAAGAGAGAGAAAGTACACTCAATCTGCTCAGCAAATCTGCATGTTTATCTAATTGACAAATCATTTACATACAGCTGCTTCCGATACACCTGTCACTGATATAACAACAATTGATGGCTCTCAGGCCCAAAGTGCCAGTAATGCTCAGATCTTTCTCTTCCTCCTCCTCAGATGGTCTTCCAGGGAGATGTAGAAAGTGTATTTCTGTCTCATCTACCTCTTCCTTGAACAAATTTAATTTGTAAGTGGATCCTTAAGCACACCCACCCACCCCCCACCACAATGCATTTAGTGCATTGACATTTTATCAGCACTCATGATGCCGCCCCACTATTGGTTGTTGCTCAGATAAGGGCCTAATAATGATTAAACTCATAACCCTGTTAGATCAAACAGATGGCAACCAAAGGCCCAAATGAAATTACAGTGAGTGATTGCGTTTGTCTAGGCACCAGAGAGGCAATAATTGTCTCCGGGTTA